AATAATCACCATAATGATATTAAAGTAAATTTGACAATAGGAGTAAAAATCTACACAATTGTTAAGTGTGACAGCTAGCTGGTCAAGTATCATTGTGCGAACTCGACAGCCGAAAATGATGACAATATGAATTACGATAAATTTATAAGTTTATATGTCTCTACACGAATTCTAGAACTGCGGCTGTAAAATAAATCTGTTACGTATCAGCGAAACACACTATCGACTATAGTGGGAGATTACTGGGTTGTTAAAATTATTATACATAATAGACATAATTTATCCATTCACTAATGAATGTTACATCTACCTAGATAAAACTGACAAGCATCTTAACATTTTCGCTCCACAATTTATTAGAGTTAATTATCCATTTCTTGAATGTGAACAATTTCGTCGGCTTTGGGATCATGACTTATTGACAGCAAAACAGGTTCTTTCTTTATTACAGCCACTGAACACCAAGTCTCGTTAGCAGAAGGCTGGATTTCAGGTCGATGATTTTGTATTTCTACCATCTGCATGTTTGCTGCTCTGTCTGGCTTTCTGACATGAAAACTCTCGAGAACAGCGTTCCGAATCTTTTCATTGCGCCAACAGTAAATGATGGGGTTAAAAAGAGAACGAAGCAAGATGGAAGTTGTCGTCCAACTATAACAAATAATAGTAGTTCCGGTGCCCAATTTGTTAAGCCCCCGAATTGACAGTAGCAAAAGCAATAGCATTGAAGGCATGTAAGTTATAACTAGCACACCCAAAATGATTCCTAGGGTGTAGGCTGCCTTGTTGTCTCTCTTTACTCTTTTCGCTTCTTCTTGAGACAACTGGTCTGTTTGCAGCCGCTTCTTCTGTCGCCGTATTTCTGAGAAAATATACACATAACAGTAACAGATACCAGAAATGCAAGCCAACCCGATGACAGAAGCTGAGACAGATCCAACTGTCCAGTATACTGAGTAAATTTTGGCAGCTTTTTTGACAATAACAGCTAAGACAGTTTCCTGAATTGTCAGATAAACGCCAATTGCCCAAGCTACAAGTACACCTTTTTTTATCCGCTGTTTTGTGACAATTACCTGGTACCTCAAGGCATCCTTGATTGCGATGTAACGATCGACGCTGATTAACACAAGGTGGCCCATCGAAACATAGCTTGGTCCATAAAGAGCTATGAAGTGTGCTGTTTCCAGCGCACAAAATGGGTCGATGGCAAAAGCTCGCTTCACGTTTACCGCGACAGCAATAGCCAGACCAACCATTCCAGCGAACAAATCTGAACCCGCCAAACACGCCAAGAGAATATTCGAGCTGTTTTGCAATGAGCGTGTGGTTGTCACGGCAAAGATGGCCAGTGCATTCAACAGTATGGTTGGAATTATTGCTACAGAATTAACACAAATTGACGCCACAAGATTTCTGTACGTGTGGTCGGTGAGGTATGTCTTTCGCCAGACATAATCTTGCAAATAAGGGCATTCTTGTCTACCTTGGTCAGATGAATTCATGGCCGACGAAGCCACGCCAGACGTCGCGTTACAGTCAACAAACAACGTGAAAAGTAAATATATCGGCAGATGTGATGAGATACTTACAAATTAAAAACATTAGGTTTTTATTTTTTCCTTGGACAAATAAGTTAAACACTTGATAACGGAGGTCTTTTCTCATTGGATGTTGAAAAGTTCGATTCCTGTTTGTAGAATACAAGCACAGGCGTAAGAATAGCATCACCGTATTCCGTATTCCTAAATAAAAAAAAAGAAAATTACAAAAAAATAAATAAACTTATTCCTCTACTACATACTTCACAGAATTTGCCCGACTTCCATGCCGTCTAAAAAGAAATGCCATAATTAGCTCAGGCGACTTTGATCAATGCTTTATGATTAATTGAACATTGCGAAATTTGGAGTTATTGCATATCTTTAGTTTTGCCATAGAAATGGTAATATAATAACTATTTCTACAACACAACTCGGCAAAAGAGGGAAAATACTTCGTTTTTCTGTCTTAAACTTGACTAGGAAGGTTTTTATTTTACTTTGACTTGCAAATTTACTGTTAAATTACCGTGGCAAGTATTATGATCGCAGAAGAGATCAGAGCAGCTGACAGTTTCATGACTAATTGAACATTGATTAATTTGGAGTTATTGCATATGTTTGGTTTTGCCATATAGTGTTTTGGTTTAGGAACACAAGAAGAGTTCAACAGCGAATTGAAAGTTTGAAATTTGATAAATTTGAGAAGTTGATTACGAAGCCTCAATTTCGTTTATGGAAATGAAAGGAGTTCTAATGAAAACAAACTACGTATCAGATTTTTATCTTTTTAACAGCTATTGATAAGCAAACAATGAAAAAATCTATTTTTTAGCTTCCGCCACGAAATCAAAATTTTACTCGGTTTACCTTTATTTTTCCTTTTCAGCAATAAAAATACTTGGTCTAACTTGATGTATTTCACTCTGGCCATGAAAAGAATTTTTTTCGATGACATCTGTCTTACTGATTGAGTAAAATAGTTATTTTGTATTTTACTGGATGGTATTGCTCGTTATTGTATTTCCGAAGCTAAAAGTTCACCAAATCTGCTGTTTTCACTTGGTCATATTTCGTCTACCGTTGAAAAATTTTTGTTAAGCGACCCTTGCCGCGCTCATTTTCAACATGAGCCGAGGTCGCTTAATTGATACCGGAGTTCTTTTCTCGTTGGATATAGGAAATTTCGCTTCCTGTGTGTACAATGCAAACACAGGCGCCGGCCCTTTGGAATTTTTTAATGATAACGTCAATTTGATGTATTTCGCTACTTCACAGTAATAGCGCTTCACAGAATTTGCCCGACTTTCATGCTGTCTAAAAGAAATGCCGTTATTAGCTCAAGCGACTTTGATCAATGGTTAATAGGTTAATTAGACTTTGGGAAATTTGGAGTTATTGCACATGTTTAGTTTTGCCATGGAAAATGGTAATATAATAGCTATTTCTACAACACAACTGGGCAAAAGAGAGTGACTAATCCGTATTTCTATCTTAAATTTAATTATGAATGTTTTTTACTTTAACTTGCAAATTTACTACGTAAACCACCATGGCAAGTATTCTGGTGCAGAAGAGATCAGAACAGCTGTGCAGGTTTATTCGGTTGTACAATATTGTAGATCCAGTATCTACGGAATTCAAAGCGCAAAAGCGTTGAAAATTGATGTTTTCCACGAAAGTAACTTTCAGTAAAAATTACAAAACGATTTTCAATATAATTATTTTCAACAGTATTCACTCAGAAAGCGAAACATACTATATCCAGTGAGAAGAAGACCTTCAGTATCAAATGAGTGACCTTATGTAGAAATTAAAACATTAAGTAAAATTTTGAAGCCTAGTTTGTTTTCACCAGAACTCCTTTCATTTCCGAAAAAAAAATTATGATATCGATTTTCTATTCATAAACGAAATCGGTTTGCGTGGTCGACGTCTCAAATTTATCAAATTTCAGGCACCCAATTCGATGTGAGTGATAAATTCTGATCGTGTTGCTAAACCAAACCACACAGAGAAGTTTGTATACTTGCTACCAGCCATTTCATTACTCTAAAGAAAGCTATTCGGTTACCCGTTTCTATGGGAAAACTAAACATGTGCATTTGCTCCAAATTAGTCAATGCTCAATTAATCATGAACCGTTGAGCAAAGTCGCTTGAGCTAATAAAGACATTCTTTATAGACGGCATGGAAGAAGTCGGGCAAATTCTGTGAAGCGGTATTTCAGTGTAGTAGAAAAATTCATAGATGTTATCCTGACGTAAGAGCCGAACATCTGCTAAGCCAAAATAAAAATCGAATTCGGCTGCCACAACCGCTTAGTGTCAACGAAAGAGTAAAAGCTTTTAAACTTATTATTCTTTTCAATGAAGAAGCTTTCAGAAAAGAACGTGTGCATTACAAGGTAATTACCAAACAACCATTTCAAGATGTAGACCAGTAAAGCCCAAATTATAACAAATACGACAAAATATCAGAAATAGCAGGGGTTAGATTTGGAGTTATTGATTTTAGCAAAAGGTAAGCGTTCGTTCCGAATAACGATACGGATGTTATTATTATTTTTTTGGATATTCTTGCAAAAGTCTTATTTTTAAAATGACATATTGGTTTTCTCTAATTTGATAGTGATCATAGTGATCAGCTTATCGCTTTTATGGAGTTTATTTGTAAATTGAGTTATTTACAATGTAGCCTTCGTTGGACACGAGCTGATAAATGATAAATGATGTACGTCAGCTCTATTACGTTACGATTACGTTACGATGGGTGTCGAAAATAACAGAAACAAAAAAATAACGGTTCATGACGAATGAAACGTTTATAACTCATTTCACCGAAACTTATTTTGAAAACTCGTGATCTACCAACGAAATTTCGAGCCACGAGAAAAAAGAATTCATATCCTTTACAGGAAGAAAGTAAGGGGATTCGTGAATCACTGAAATTACCCTTAACTGACCTCTTTCATGGTAGAATCTTACTTCCTGGTAATTTTGGCGATGTGTCAATATTCGATCGTTTGATATTAAGTTAAATGTCTCCCAACTAAATTTTACTGAGCTTTGCTGGCTCGGGAGATAAATTTCGCAAATACTTCCCGTGCTGTTACTTACTTTGTCTAGAAGTAAAGCGTAACCTTCTTCTTGTCTCGGGGACACAACATTACTCATTGGAATAAACACAAACGCGAGGAAATGGTCACTTTCAGATCTTTGCTGCACGCACCTTTAAAATCCTTTATCTTAATCCAACAGGAAAGTTCAGTTAACCTTAAAAGCTGTTTCAAGGCTTCTGTAGTTTTGTATACAAAAGAAAAACGTACAGCTGAGGTAACCAATGGCAAAAAGTATTCATAAACGTATTCATATTCATGTTGTTAACAAACATATATGAAACGAAAATGCTGCAAAATATTGTTCTGAATATCAAACTTCAATGCACTTTTTCTTTTCTCACCAGCAGTAGTTTAAGAAAATTGTGAACACAACATGACGATCGTTTCTACGTCCATGATTTTTTCTGGCCCAGATAGGAGGGGCACATGGGGGGTTCTGAACACCGCAACACCGCAAAAAAAAAAATTAACGAACACCGCATCACCGCAAGAAAAGTCAACGAAACACCGTCACCGCAACACGTATTTTTAGCACCATGATTCGTTCACCAACACTTAAAATAATACTTTTATATCTCAACAATTTTCCACAAAATAAACACATCACAACGCTTTTCATTGCGTATATGTCGATACTATTGATGCCTGTAAATCAGTTTTCTTGCTCTTACCGAAGAAACCTTGCGCGAAGCTAGGAAGTGCTAGCGGACAAAGAAAAAAGAGAGGAGGCTCGAGAGATGGCCTTTACCCCAGATCCCTCTCTTCTTTTACTTCGCTCACTTTTCTTGGTGTATAGACCCACTGATTGAAGTCCTATCTTGACTGAAAGTATTGCTTTAAGGACCTAGCTGCGTTTGCGTTCGATATCGATAATCGTTTGAAAAAATAGAAGGTCAAGAAAGTCGCAGGGCCTTGGAGCTGGTATAAACCGGTATCAAAATGACCTATGGACAAGCCGAATAGCAAAAGGGAAAAAATAGTAAACGTGTGTAATTTACAAAGCTTCCTTAGCTTAGAGAAAGCCTTCTTTCTTCCGTACCGACGCGACATCTGAATCTATTTTGTGGTCGCTAATTTTCGCCTCCTTTTCCTTTTTAAATATGTTTTTTCGTAGCAAAAAGCTGCGCAATCAATAATACATTATATTCGGCCTTGGCGTTTCCAGAATTTCCAGGATTTTTTCTGTCCTCGCTCCTCTACGTGTCTACCGAACACTGAACTCCGGGTGGCAGAGGTCGAGTTACTTGTCAAGTTACGTATAAATAAAAACAGCTTCTGATTGGCGGTCGAAGTATGTTGAAGATTGACTAGAAAGTGATGGTACGTGTTTCACATGAATAAGCATGCGTTAACGAAGTTTACATGCTAAATTTCAGGGTCAAATTTAGGTTTGAGAAAGGTAAATCAAAAACCCCAGCACCGCAATCAATTTCATTTCACCGAACACCGCAGCGTGAAAAACACAAACATCGCACGCCGGGGGTTTGAGATCACCGCAACACCGCAAGTTGAGATTTTATTTACCGCATCACCGCATTAAAAAACATCAATACCGCAACACCGCAAATCCCCATGTCCCCCTCAGATAGAAAAGACTGTTATTATTTGCAAGAATATTTCTGGCGGAAGGAGTATCTGACAGAACATACGTTTAGAAGTCTAATGGCCTCGCCTTTTTTCAATTGCCTAGCAGTTATTCCAACCATCCTGTTGGACGCGCTGTTCATCTTTACCGTAGCAACAAGAAGCTCACTGCGAAGCAACTCCAATATACTCCTGGCGTTGTCGGGAACAGATTTCCCGGCTGGACTAATTCTTCAACCAATTGCTATCGCGATAAACATGAAGGCAGCTTTTGGCATCGAACCATTTTGTACACTGCAAATGGCACACAGTGTTGGTCTTTCTGGGCAAGCTTGGGCTTCGTTCAGTCATCTCTTTTTAGTCAGCATCGATCGCTACATTGCAGTCAAGCATGCTTTGAGGTACCGGGTAATTGTCACAAAACAGAAGATAAAACTGTACGTGCTTGTGGCATGGGCAATTTGGCTATAAATTATAATAGACAGTGGAACAAAAATGTACTCAGTATTTTTGACGTTCTCAGCTGTATTATATACTGTTGTCGGCTTGGTATACAGTGGTGGTATCTGTTTCTGTTATGTGTATATTTCCTCGGAAACACGGCGACAGAAAAAAACGTCTGCTAACCGAAAAATTAACGCAACAAGAAGCTAAAAGAGTGAAGAAAGATATCAAGGCAGCCTATACCCTAGCAATAATTTTAAGTGCGTTAATTGTATGGAAAACAGCTCTCCTAACACATTAAACCCGGCAAATTGAGTCATTTTCTCGAGTTGGGCCTCGGCCTCCTTTTTACTGGGTTCTCTTGTTAACCCCATCATCTACTGTTGGCGCAATCAAGAACTTCGGCGCGTTTTCCTTGAGATCTGTCATGTCAGACAACCAGTAAACAGAGCACCAGAAATACTGTGATACTGATAGAAAGACAACTTTATCGACCTGGAATTCAGCCCTTCGCTAGCGAGGCTTTTTCGATGGCTGATGGCTGTAGCAAAGCAAGAACCAGTTTTACTGTCATTGAGTCATTTCAAACCCGAAGAAATTCTTCATATCGAGGAAATGAATAATTAGATTTAAAAAATTGAAAAACTTTATTCGCAACCCATATGACGAGTGTTTTATCCTCGGCTGATTCTGAATGTTCTACACTGGTGCTAAAAAAATATTCGGAGCCGTTTCTTGAGATTATTGATGCAAGACAGTAGAAATAAAGTGTCATCGACCGGGAATTCAGCCATCCACTTATAAAGCATATTATTATAAAGCATATTCGATTGCTGTAGTGAGACAAACACCTGTTTTTCTATGAGGAATTGTTCATACTGGGGACACGGATAACTTGTACGTTTTACACAAATTGAGAAATGTTGATATCTACAAAATGTCGTTGAAGATAAAATTGAGCAATAAAATGTCTTCCTGTGATCTTGTAATTTTTCTATAGCTTTTCATTTTTAGGCATTAGAATTGCGTACCCTCGAAACTTCCGCTTTCATCTATTTAACAATTAGATTCTGAGCTCGAGATTTCTGTCGCGCATAGGAATGGAAAGCAAATAATCTAATTGTTTTAGTATAAATCTACTAGTAGTTAAAAACTTTATCTAAATCCTAGTGGGTAACGTAGCTAATTAGAGAACAGCATTCGTGATAGAACGCAAGCGGATTTATACTAAAACAGAATAGAAAGTGAGTAGCGTAGCCAATCAGAGAACGGCATTCGTGATGGAGCCCTAGTAGATTTATACTAAAACTAGATAGATATGCTGAACACGAAAGCTGTCACCCAAGGCAAAACATTTTGAAGCAACAAGTTCCCTTCTCTCCCCAAACGCCAGGTGTTGTTTCGGTTTACTCATAAATCTACTTAATGCTTCCCTAGTCAGATCTTCAACGGGTGAAAAACGGAATGATGTCAAACATCGGCAGTGTTAGTGTAATATAGCCGCCATCTTAAGACGAAGACCAACATTTCCGGTCTAATGGCGTTTTTCCTAGTAACTTGCTAGTTTTTGTCTTTACATCAAGGCAGCCTAGTGTCGCCTGGAAGTTCATCTCTCGATATTAGAATCCCATCTCTTTCACGGTTTGAAAAGAGGATGATCTCCGACTAACGGCCATGATAGTTTAACATGGCCGCCATCTTGAAACGAAGTGTACTTTTTCTGGTGTAATAAATTTTTATATAGTTGCTTTGTAGTTTTTGTATGGATATCAAGATATAAAATTGTAACGTAAAACGTCATCTATCGATGATAGGATCCCATCTTTTCAACGGGTGAAAAAAAGAATGCTGTCAACGATGTCAAACAACGGCAATGACAGTCTAACATGGCCGCCATCTTGAAAGGAAGTGTAATTTTTCTCGTCTAAAAACTTTTTATGTAGAAGCTTGGTAGATTTGTGGGGATATCAAAATATAAAATTGTAACGTAAAACTTCATCTCTGATGGTAGAATCCCATCTCTTCAACGGGTGAAAAACAGAATGATGTTAATCATTGGCAGTGTTAGTCTGATATATATATGGAGGAAGGGGGGGGAGGGGGAGTTTACCGTATAACACCCCATGTCCCATCAGTGTTAGCTGAGATTGTGGGAGCACCCGTGAAAAACAGCACTCGCGTTCATTTCCCACCAGACAAAGAAAGTGCACACAAATAAAACTTTACTAAAAATATCAACTATTTAATCCTTGAAAAATAAGGCTCTTGTTCAGAAAGAGCTGACAAGTTTCTTAAGAGGCTGTTTAAATAATGTGTAAACCACTTTGAATTAAAGACGACGAACCCTTTAAACAACTAGAAACGACCGTTCTTGATGATAATGATGATGATGCTGTAAACAATGCCGTAAAAGAATCTCAGTCTGATCTACTGACTCATATAAATATTGTATTGCTTTTTAGCCGAGTGAGGCGATAAAAGAATGAGACAAAATTAGCCCTTCACAGTATTACACAACCGACACCGACTGCGTTCGGAGGCTAAAAGGGGAACTACGAGAAACTAAGAACATCTTGTTCCAACTTTTCTACATTTATCTTGACATCAGCGATTCTTTGAAAATTCCTCAAAAAAACCTAAGCTGTAAGTAGCCCACAGCCTCCGAGCAGACCCTCTTTGGTCCGTCACGCCATTTCCCCTCCGCAGAGGAGCGCGTGACGAGCCCTGAAAAAGACTGCGTTTGAGGCTACGGCTAGCCATGGAAACATTAACAAACTGTTAACAAAAAAAAAAAAGAAACGAAGGGATACATTTATTGACATTTCAAAGTAATTTTAACTCCAGAGGACCAAAGAATTTTAACTCAAAAGCTTATTTATCGCTTAATTTAACCTCATTACCCAAAGACCAGATAACACCAAACAGAATTATCTTGAAATCACAAACAATTCTCTCAAATTGTACGATCACAAATGAACAACAAGGAGGTCGCATCTGTAAGTTGTACAAGGGGATAACTTTGGGAACAGACATAATTTGAGTACGACATCTTTTATGAACTTTTAAAAGATGTATCGCCCCTGATGACAGTTCAAGATCAAAAGATAAGTTCCTTGTGTGACGATTCTTGCATTTAAAGACACTCGTTCGTCACCACAGATAATTCTGCTACCCTTAGTAGAGTTACACAGCCAAAGCATTTGAGAGGATTCATATCGGGGACCAACTGCATACAATGAGAAACGCGACTAGTTCGATTTCCAGAAACTTACTCTATTCTCCGACAATTTCATTGTATCTGTTAGCTTTTTTGCCATGAGAGATAACAGCGATACGAGTTTAACTTCCACTCGACGGAAAATGCATTATCACTGCTCTTAATCTCAATCCTTACAGACTTCGCTGCATTTGGTGATTGATAAAAAATAACAATTTTCCTTCCTGCTTGGCATTTATTCCTGATGGGGGAGGTGGGATGGAGGGGAGAGACGGGGGGGGCCACCAGCGCCTCGATTTATTCTAGGGTGGGATGGGTGATCCAGGAATGATTCACGTCATATTTACGCTTTCCACTCTGATGTTTAGAAGCCTTCTAAGGTTGTAGTTTATCGGTACAAGTTCCGCCACACCCTCTTGTGTGCTGCTATCCGGCGGGGAATACTTGGGTACGACACACAAGGGTTTGTCAGCGATTTCATTCATGAACTGAGACCAGGGCATTTCACGTATGTCGAGTCTTTTGGCCTTTTTCAAAAGTGCACCTCGGCCTATTCGGAGGTGCTCTAGAATGTCGGAGAGGAGAACGTAATTTCGTCGCCTAGAAAGACAAAACAAAAATGTGGTAAGAAGGTTCAAGACTAATCAACGCGACCAAATCACTGTACGCAAAACAGTGCGAATGAACACAAACATCTATTACGAAATACGGAATGAACAGAAACGAGAACACGTTATATGCTAAAGAAGTCATAAAAATTTTAAATAAACTTCTTAACGGGTCTTGCTTAACGAAAAATAAAAATTAAAAAAAAAAAACGGTAGAAAGACCTCAATAGCATAAGACTTTGCATAGAGAAGGCGCTTTGCTAAGGACAAATTGCTTCCAAATAAATACTCAGCTCTTTGCAGTATTGTTAAAGGAGATATCATATTTCAAACCCAGCAAAATTTGGGCGTAGTAAAAGCGTTAATAAGCCCAAAAAGTCTTTGTAGATTTATCAGTTTTTACACCTGCANTCTTGTGTGCTGCTATCCGGCGGGGAATACTTGGGTACGACACACAAGGGTTTGTCAGCGATTTCATTCATGAACTGAGACCAGGGCATTTCACGTATGTCGAGTCTTTTGGCCTTTTTCAAAAGTGCACCTCGGCCTATTCGGAGGTGCTCTAGAATGTCGGAGAGGAGAACGTAATTTCGTCGCCTAGAAAGACAAAACAAAAATGTGGTAAGAAGGTTCAAGACTAATCAACGCGACCAAATCACTGTACGCAAAACAGTGCGAATGAACACAAACATCTATTACGAAATACGGAATGAACAGAAACGAGAACACGTTATATGCTAAAGAAGTCATAAAAATTTTAAATAAACTTCTTAACGGGTCTTGCTTAACGAAAAATAAAAATTAAAAAAAAAAAACGGTAGAAAGACCTCAATAGCATAAGACTTTGCATAGAGAAGGCGCTTTGCTAAGGACAAATTGCTTCCAAATAAATACTCAGCTCTTTGCAGTATTGTTAAAGGAGATATCATATTTCAAACCCAGCAAAATTTGGGCGTAGTAAAAGCGTTAATAAGCCCAAAAAGTCTTTGTAGATTTATCAGTTTTTACACCTGCATCTATATCAGAATAAATTTCTTGGGGGCGGTTAATCGAGCGATGTCCTTTCAAATTTCTGACCTGATATTTTCGTAGCCCAATAACGAACTGAAGTGCTTACACTAATGGGGCAACTATTGTAAACAAACATTCCCCCCTGTCGTGAAATGGCTCCCTTACAATTGTTACTCAACTGATTTTCTGGTTATTATCAATTTAAGACTACAAGAGCTTTACACTTGATTCACTCTTGCGAGTCCCTAATAAGGAAGTGCTTACATACCCGGATGTTAATTCGTCGTTCTGCATCACTGGCAGATTGTAGGTCGGCAGGTGTGGCCTGTCACATATCTCAAATTCCCCATCAACAATACTTCCATCTTTTGGAACTGCTTCAAAAATACCCGTCGTGTGATCTGGCGAAGCATCTATTAGAATAAGATGAATACGATTCAGAAAACAAGAACGAACAGTATTGTACAACACCCGACCACTTTATCAAGTTAGCTTCACTTTTCTTAATTCAGTCTCGCGAGAGCGCGTGACACAAAACCAAGCCGGTTAAGCGTTTGGTTTTCGAGGGGAAAAAAAGAAACGTTCGATACTAAATCTTTCATCCAACGTCGCGATTACTCGTCGTGTGTATCTTGACTAACCTTTCGGCTCGCTTAACGCTGAAATGTCTAGTCCGATCTTAAGGCTCAACCCGGATAATAACAACAGCAGAGGCACGCAAAGAACACTGGTTGAAGTTGGTGCTATAGGTAATTTATCAAACACGAAAGACCGTGCTTGACCACATTTCCAAACACTGAGAAAAGAGTTGATAACATGACGCCTAGCGGGGTATTTTAGATGAACTTCGAGGTGTTTGGAAATGTGGCCAAACACGGTCTTTCGCAATTGATACATTACTTCTAACTACTTGTAACTTACCCAAAACGGGACAAGATCCGCCAAATTCCCAACATCCCTAAAAGAAACAAGAACCAAAAGCCCTCAAAAAATAGTATTGCCTAAAAAATGCATTTACTCATTATACATCCGAGATACAACCTGGTAAAGTCATCTGCGACACTTTACTAACTCTAGTCACCTCGGTTTCATTTGAAGATAACGTAGGGCTCCTCAAGTCGACATCCTCCAGGAAACCTGAAGAAAACCAAAACAAAAGAAGATATCAACGAAAAATGATCATAAACTGGGGAGGGAAAGGGGCAATTTTCAGGGGCATGATTTTTTTTTCTCACCCAATAGCAATAGCTTGGGCAAGAATTTTTTCAACATCAAATATAGGAAATGGATAGTAGAAAACACTTGCTCGATTTTTTTCCCATGGCTCCCCTTGCACGATTATTTTTTTCAGTCGTTTTTGCTGTGTAGGAATTTTTTGAAATTGCCCATCCCCCATGCCTCCCTCAAAAAAATAATGGTGCGTACCTTATTCCGTATCAATTTTCACCAGCAACTTATCAATATATCAACACTTTTTTTTACCAAACTACATAATGAAACTGGTCATCCAAAATAACTTTGAAAAGCCGACCCAAATATGTCCATTGATTCCCAAGAAATTATTGCACAAGACAGTGAGCCTGTGTCATGTGACACGCACCTTCTAGGAACGTCCTCGCGTTCGGATCCTTGGTGCAGCTGAGTGCAGTGTTCCCAGAGTACGTTGCGAGAAGGGGATCTGCGCCATACGATAACAAAACTCTCAGTACGTCCACGTGACCTCCTTCCGCCGCGTCGTGAATGGGTCTGGTGACGAAAAACCCGAGTTACCAAGGGATCAAGTTAAATGCTACGCCCATGAGTCAAAAAAGGTAAACAAGCAAAGGATTTTACAAGGATTTATTAATAGTTTTTGTTATTAGCCAACATAACGGGCGCTATGATGGGCTCATTCTAGGGAATTATTACGGACCTGCAAAAATAAAGCATAAAGCCATACAGTAAACAACTTATTAGCCTCGAACGTTCGGTCTTTACGGGAAAATAACTCAAACCTCGGCCTTGCCGTAATGACCTCGCTTTCGGTTAATATGTAGTTGCTGATGCACGAGGCAACACTACGGAAGCAACCTTTGTCGCGCAGGACGATTTTTTCCGCATCGCGTTCTGCGCTGGCGACAATGTTGCAGGGCGGAGAGAGATGGAGGTGGGGAGATAACACTACAGCATGCTGCCGCAACGAATGTAACAACACACATAGAAATGACAATCGCGCAGCCCGCTACGTTACTGACTGTGACTTCTAATGCAACAATGTTGGATTGAAAAATGGTTCTTTACAACGCTTTTTGTAACATCCCCGTGAAACGTTTATACCGCGTACACGACTCACCGAATACCGTCATTAGAGCACGCATTGACGTCAGCACCGTACTTTGCCAAGACCTTGACGACGTCAACCTGGCCTCTGGAGCAAGCCTCGTGTAATGGCGTCCAACCAGCGTTGTCCTTGGCGTTGGGATCGATACCTTGATGTATATGATGATGAACCGTTTCCTGCCAAGAAAAGACGCAAAACCAACATTACAACTGAGTACTGTGTCGGCCTCGCAATCTGGTGAAATGTTAACACTCTGAAGTAGACTGAAGGTGATTCCTTAGCATTGCATTGCGCATCCATACTGCGCACGATTTTCGCGTCATTAGCGCGCGCACATGAGCGCGTGCGCGTACAAAACGTGAGAGATTTCCCTCAAAGTGAGCTCGATAGCGAAATAGACGCTCCTTTTCTCTTAAACGAGCACGGTGACCTCCACTTTTTATTTCATAATTTCAATGAGGACAATATCCTCAATAACTGAGAAAAAAATTAGCAGAAATCTATGGCTACTTTTTTGGCAAATGAAATAAATACTACAGAGGGAAACATAACGGGCCCAACAGCGCATGTCCAAATTATGTTTCCTCTAAAGGATAAAAAAATGCAGGGTATTTGAAGACATTTTTTCTGGGACGTAGATGAATAAATAATCAAAGAAAGTCAAACTCTGTGTGGTATAACACGCTGCATTGAAAAATAATCGAGCTTATTTGTTGTGCACGGAGATTACCAAAAGTTGCCTAAATAACCGTATTTGTCAGCATTGTGGCGTGAAAACAAGCACGGTGACCCCCTCTTTTTACTACGTTTTTAATATCTCCATGTCCTGTAACAAAAGCTACCAAGTTTCATCGGTAATCTATGACGGGTTCTGTTACTAGGGAATCACCTACATGTAAAACACAATTCAAACAGTGCTAATGTGGTACATGTGATACTCACGTGATAGCCTAATCGAGCCGCTTTGTGTAAAATGGTTTCTCCTGTGTTGCGATTCACGTTAAGCTTCCTGGCTTCTACAATCAAAGATTGTTCAGAAAAACAAACACAAAAAATGGTTACTAAAATTCACATAGAAACCGAGAGCGACTGGCATTTTTGTTTGTTGTTTGCTTTGTTTTGCTTTTGGTTTCTTTCTTTGTTTGTTTTCCACTGGAGTTATTACCTAATTCAATACATTTTTATTATCCATATGTTTAATTCTATCCCACTCCTATTTGATAACAAATTTATTAAACACAAATTATAGACCGTCCCATTTTTCTTCAGAAATCTTCCAACTCTAAATCCTAGCAATTCTCAAGATTTGTGCCTTGCAGTAAAAGTGTGGTGTCTTCTTATGAAACACAGTAGTCTTATAATACCCCTCTCCACCCACGCAAACAAACGGACATCGGAGAATTTAATGCTGTGGGGTAACCCTGAGATGGACTAACATTACATCGAGACTGGGGGAAGGGAGTAGAAATTCTCCATAGTCGCTTAATGCTACAGTAACCGGGGTACGGGATACTTTGCCCGTTGCATACTTTATTTTAACTACTATTGTTCCAACCTAGGAAGACAATTTTAAATTGCATAACTATTCGACGAGGTTAGGGAGTAATAACATTTGAGCATTTGAAATGGTGCGAGTTTGGTCTTACCTTTTAGGATATCATCCTCAATGGTATCCTGTGGCAAAAGGGATTAAAAATAATTACACGTACAGAAAACGTCTTTTTAAACCTCAAGTTATCAAGTTACAGGAAGAGAGATCAGAAACGTTACTGTGATTGAAAATGTATCTTTAATTGGCATAGCTTTTTACGAGTTTACCTCTACGTTTTCTCTTCAAGTTTTGATTCGACTGAGAAAATCACTCAAATACTTTACACTGTTTCTTTACACAACGAAGCTCGGCAACAACTATCACCCATGCATGCTATTTAACCCTCTTCTCGGTGTTTTCAAACGTTATGAAACACTATCGCTCTCGTGTTTGGCTGGTACCCTAAGAAGCAATTGTCTTAAATAAATTTAACGCTCCCAAGACTTAAACAATGGGTTACTTTTCATGCAAAGGTGTACCTCTTCCAGTGCCTCATCAACTCGCCATTTACCGCGCGCCTTCAGGCAATTTTCTACTATTTGTTGGACTTCTTCGTTCTCGGCAATGATACTGTTTTTCACAGGTTTTGAATTCACGCTTTCCACCACGAGTAAAGGGAACTCTGACGGTTTAGTGTTCTGCTGTGGCGGTTCTAAATATTGATAGATTAAGAAGCAAGATCAGTAAGCAAGTTTGTGACATGGTAATACCCGTTCACATCCACGAGTGCCCGTTAATAAGATCCAAATTTCATTTTAAGGAATATTTTTAAAATGAACAGCACCACATAAAAGCACTGCTATGCCTGATGATTGCACACTTACCACTGTCTGGTTGCTTCGACTTCCCGCGTGTTCGAGATTCGAGAACTATTGGCTTGAAATCCTATTTAAAAACAAAACGGGCCTTAAGTATGCATCAATCTGGCTGATGAAACCTCAGTTTACTTTCTGCTTTAAAAAGGCGAATACCATTTTTCGACGCACAAAGGAAATTCGAAAACAGCGTAAACTTTCGATAAACGAAAATATAAGCTCGTGGGCTTGTTATCGATATTTTACAGTATAAAGAAGAAATAACAATTTAACGAATCTAGTAATCGAGCGGATTATATGTATGTATCTTCTGAATAAATAACAAAACAGCTTAACTTACTATGACAACAATAATAATTGGTACCAAGGGCGAAGTTCGAGAGGATATCAAGTGTCGAGAGTAATTGGAATTTCTATGGATTTGCTTTACTACGTTGTATGATTCGACGAATACAAAATATAAACCAAAACTAATCCTGAGTTGGTCACAAGAGTTTTCCCACGCTTGGTGCTGGTCAAGTGTATTTACTTCGAGTTTTCATGAGTTCGTTGTGTTATTTACGCCTGCTGTGATGGGCCATTCAGATTGCATTGATTTTGCTTGCACGACACTAACATGAAAATTGCTGTAGTAATAGGCCCTTTGCTGGATCCGGTCACATGGTACGGAATAAATTATGCTGGGACGTAAGTTACAAAGTGGGACTTTCAAAACAAAGGAAAGCCTGGCTGGGTTGGTACGAGTTGCCTTGTTTTGGCAGTCTCACTGTGTAACTTGCGTCCCAGAATAATTTATTCCGTACCATGTGACCGGATCCGGCAAAGGGCCTTTTTAGTTTCTTGGTTATTTAACGAAGGGAGAACACGTACCCTGAAGCCTTGATATGCAGTAACAAGCATGTATGTCTTCACACGGTGACTTCTGTCTGTTTTTCCTGAAAATAATGACGTATTTAAAATCATACTTTCTCGATTAAAAGCAAGGCCTCGAATACGTGCCAGGTTAATCAAAGGACGGCAGATTCGGTCCAATACTCAAGCAAACTCGTTCCCAGAGCCCACGTGCAATCGGTTAGCAATGACCGAACTTCCGATTTTCAGGACAAAATCAAAAGTTGACACCATTGAATTCTGTTTCCTGGTTGATTGTACTTATGCGCTCACGTTCAATAAAGGTTTCTGAACATGCGCACAAAGAGTAACCACTGTGACTAACGCTGGCGCACCCTTTCGATGACTGGTGCTAATGCTAACCAAAAAGATCCCGGGCTCTGTGAACGAGATTGTGGATCACCACCAGGAGACCAGATCATGCTCACTCTACATCCTTACAGAGAGAGGACTGGGTACACATTCATCTGAACGACACGGTATGAAAGTCGATTCACCGTTCTGTACACTCCACTGAGTACCAAATTTTCCACGACGTGAAATAATTTGTTTTGACAAATAGATTCTGTTTTGTTTATGTTTTTGTTTAGTAAATTTTGTTCAAACTTAGGTGAACACTCATTATCAAAGCGTGAGTAACGAGTCAGGTGATTTTTCATGTTTACAATTGAAAAGTAATGGTTAAACTTACCGCCGTCGGCATTTTTGGGTAGAGCGACTTCCTGTGAAAGAAAAGAAAGCAAAACGCCAACAATAAGAAAGCAACGATAAGAACAACAACAACAACAACAACAACGAGAAACCAAAAGAAACACCACGGCCAAAGAAACAGGAACACGCAAACACTGGGAGCTTCATGTAAGCCTCAATCAACTGACCTGTCTATTAACCCGCAGTGGTTCTATCTCTACCCTTGCACGTTTAACAACCTTCCTTCCCATGTCTCCAGTAGAAATGGACCTTTTATGTGAAGTACTATGTGGGACGTTTTCCTTTTTGGTTTCTTGAGGAGCACGCGCTAGACATGGAAACGAAACAGTTTAGACTTCATTTTAAGGGCAGAAAACGCATCAATAAAGTAGACAAACAATACTCACTGTCAGAGGAATGTCTTCTCACTTCGGCCGGTTTATTATCCTACAAATACATATAAAAAAATAAAATATAAGTAAAAACAAAGAACTAAGAAGGAATCGATTAATTCCCAGTAACAAGCAGACAAAAACGTGGATGTTTCACATATCTTCTTAAAAGAAAAATCATTTCTAACGACACAAAATGTCGAAAACAAATTTCGAAGTTAATATGAAACACTTGAAAGTACTAGTGACATGAAACTGATGATGAAAGTTTCGCTGTGTTTGCACAATTTCTCTGAAATCTGAAATTTATTTTCTCGAGTTCCCATGGGAAATTGTTTTTGGTGTTATCTCAGGAAACCGTTTGTATCTTTAGCTTTTAGAAGATGCAAAAAGGACTGTAAATAAACTTAAAGTTATTCTGGTACATGGCAACTGAAATTGCTCGATTTCCTATCAAATTTCGTGCATATGAAGTGAAAAATAATTGCTGCTTATTTGAAAGGCTTCTCAAAATAAAGAAGAATGGCGTTTCTCTTTTTGGAATACCTTCTTTGGTTCTTGAAATATCTACGTTTCTGTATTATGCAAATGAGGAAAATGATGATGTCATAAGCACTTCCACTTAAACAGTAGAATACTGAATCAAGAATATCTCTAGAAATATTGGAGCGGTGTTCAACAAATATGGCCGCAAAGTAAAGTTCTAAAACCATACAATATATATCATGTGATGAAGTTATCAAGAGCGATTGTCGGTTCGGCGGCCAACTCAAAACAACTGCGATTATCGGGCTATTTATGTAATAGGAAAAAAAATATGTAACATTTTCGAAAAACGTGAATGTGCACCGAAAACACAAAGAATGCAGATCAAAAATGAAAAATCCTAAACTAAGTTCTCATTACCGCGTGTTTGTGGCTTTGTGAGACCGCTGTTGTTTGTGAAGTATCCTCTGGTTTGGCATCAAAGGTTCGTTTGTCTGTAACTAAAAAGAAAATCATTAAATATTAACAACATGAACGGGTGATGACTGGCTTCAACAAATAGGTGCAATTGTCACAACATGTAAGGCGACACCGAGTCACGTCACGCAACACGATACTAAACAAAGCAAGGAGAACAAAAACAATTTCCACACGTCTCTTAATAGCTTCCCTGTTGGCAAGGCATTACTACGTATATATCGAGCTCCGACTTCACTAGTAGAAAATTACAAAAAGGAAAGAATTAAATTCTGTCTCGAGGGGACAACAAGTTCTTTTCTTGCAAGCCAACAAAACAGGATACTTGTTACTTCTGTGCAGTTGTACTACACTTTCCAAGCGACGAAAACTAAATTAGTAACGATAAAACTAAGCTAAACAGTTGAGTTAGTCCTCGAGAAATTCGATCATATCACAAACAGTTAAGGTGGCTACAAGAAATTTTGAGAGTCGATCTGGAGACATTGATAGACAGCGGTCGGCCCGTATCAGTGACTCAAAGGAATCCCTAACGAAAGAAACGCTTCGCAAAGATTGCGTTGGCTTATAAACAAAAGAAACCTACCAAATACTACACTTTACCAGAATGATAATTTGACAAGCAATGTTCCGTCACCTAGCCCCAACTTTAAGTTACAAACATCAAATTAAAGAAAAGAACTTGCCTGTTTCCAAGCGTTTTCTTTTTCGTTTAGGTTGTTCATCCTTCTAATAAAAGAAACAACATGTTAAAATAGCACACTTGCATGATGACTTGACCCACCAGAATTAATTTCGCTTTTCTTAAATTCTTATTTAAATTTTGAGATCTCAGTGAGGTTTTAAAGGGGCTATGTTACGACATTTTTAAATCTTGCTCTGATGTAAAAAAATTACTTTCAAATTGCCTGATTACTTTCGACATTCAAATCGTTTTACAACAACAAATATGCTCTTACAAGCAATGAAAAGAACTTACATTGGCATTTGTCGAGTTCAAACGTTTCCTTTTAACAACCACTGTTTCTTGAGGTCCCCTACTTTTTGCAGTCCTGTTATCCTCTTGGGCTAACGGGGAAAGACAAAACAAAGCAAACTCAAGTTATTAACAGGAATGGCTTACAAGATTTGTTAATATGACTACGTATCGGCATGGATCTAAAACAATGGAAACTTTTTCCAGACTCGATTTATTCATTCGGTTCCTAGCTCGGGCCCCGAATCCGAGTCCAAATCTGATTCCATACATTACTACAATGGCCGTGCACTACAAGCAGTTGTAAATTAGCCAGCAAAGCCTGAATATCAAACATAGTACACGCAAACGTGCAAAATATTCCAATGGTACACGCTTTTGACGTGAACAAAGCTAACTCTACCATTGGCAATGTTATAAACAATCATTTGGCGATCTTAGTTGTGCAGCTTCGAGTTATAGATGCACTTGGGAGTTTTGGCGCTCAAGAAGTTAGAGTTACTCTTAGCTGCACCTCTAGGAACTCGTACGCTTCCTTCGTGCCCTTCAAACTTCCTGTGTGCATCATAACTTAATGACGCACATCTAAACGCACGAATCAATTGTTAATTAATTGAAAGTGAATACGAGTTTTACTGCATGAAATATACACGGATCAAAGACCCAAAAAATTCTAGCCATATTGCGACTCACGAAAAAGTCGAGAAAATTAAAGTCACAAAAGATCATAATATTTGTAAAATAGAGGGAGATATTATAGCATCATTCAGGACAGACATTTTCGAAATCTCGACATTACAAGAAAACTGTGCACCCTAACACAAATACTAAAACATTGCAATAAAATGACAATCATACGCGTTGATTTCTCGAGTGCACTCCACATTACAAGAAATACATTTTTTCTAGCAACAATCGAAAAATACTCGTAGAGTGAATACAGTACCTGTAGATTTAACAGTTACGCTTCTTCGCTGTGAAAACCACAGTCTCTGCAAAACGATAATCCCGCAACAAAAAAAATTAAACTGGTTGGCTAAACTAATGAGGTATTCCTCAAGATTGAGCAGAATATCATTATTTTGTTTTATCATTCAACAAAACATCAACGAAGCCCATTGCTGCTGCCTGTAGATGCACTATGCAAGTTGTGGTTCAGCAGCACTCTGAAAGATGTAGGACGAATCTTAACAAAATAAGCTAATCGCACTATGCCCGGCTATATTCGCGCGATTTTGCGCACCAGTTGCTACAAAACCACTTAAAAGCCACTTGAATTTTAAGGGGAAAATGTTAGTTGAAAAATAAATAGAAAAATCGACGGTACATTGTACATATAAATAAATAGTTTTATTAATTTTATTTAGTTCACTTAACGAACTTCATGTATGAACTACTAACTAACTTAACAAATCTAGGTTACATTCCATTTATACTTGTTACTCACTCTACGTTTCAGTTTTTTCAACCAAACATTGGCTCCTGTTAATAAAAGAAAACCAGAAACAAAAACAAAAAAAGACAAGAGGTTATCGCAAATCATTTGCAAAAACCACAGCGGGAACTGGGCAACAACACATTCGCAACACAATTCGTTCATGAAATTAGAAAATAACTCGGAAAACAAACATGATGATACAATAAATATCATTTTACTTAGTCCTTTAGAGAAAACAAGTCCAAGCATACTTTTGAACACATTATTGTGGTTTCCTCGCCTTTGTTGTTTAACATGCAGAGTAAGCGAAAAACACTACTTAGTTTCCTTCGCAACAATTAGTTGGAAATGCTACCGTTATGATGTCATTTGTTGCAAAACAAAACTCTTTTAAAAATAGTTTTTAAACAAATTGAACGCTGTCAATAAGATAAATATGATAAAAATGAAGATAGATTATAGTATTACCTGACTGTTTCTTGGCACCATTTAACACTGTTGTTTGTTTATCCTGCAACGAAATAAAATTAACGGAAATGAAAAAGACAAAGCAACTTCTACATGTACCTGAAAGTTGAAAAGTTTCATATTGCTACAAAAACAACTGTCTAAAATATATGTTAATGTGACTTAATAATTATTCCACGAGCGTATGTTGGATGATAGATAGCCAACAAGGCGCATTTAGCCGAGTTGGCTATAATCATAATAAGTTTTAGCAAGGTTGTCATATGTATATGTACTGAACATTGTTAAAAACTGGACGACTGGATAATGTAACTGAAGAGTTAACATTGGCTTAGCCATCAGAGTATAGAGCCATTATATCATGCTCTACAAATATAGTAAGCGTGCGCGTGATTTTTGGGGCGTTTTTATTTTTATTTCATTTTAGTTTTCCAATATTTTGAGGACGTTTTTAATAAATCGATTATTCCACTTGCGCTTGTTAGAAATGAAATGGTCATCGTAGGCTATCTATCGTCTCACTTTAGATATTTGAACTCGATTTCTATGCGTGATAGCTGACTCGGGCTGCGTCTTCGTCAACTATCGCGCGATACAAATCTCGAGCTCATAATCTAATTGTAAAGTCTAAAGAAATGGTAACTGCGACCTAGCAAGAAATGCCAATAAATTTACGTCAAGACTTTGACGAAATTCGTTTAGTGTGATATGCGATTTTCAAGTTCTATTGTTTGAGCCTTGATATGAACTTTACTTCTTTGGCCTGAGGTTCATACTCGGTAAGACTTTATGATGCACATCAAGTGTCCAGGCTGCTAGCATAATCATTTCTTCTAGAATTATATGTTTAAGTTTATAAGACTATCACCGGCTAACGTTTTCAAGGATAACCTGAAAGCAACTGTACATTTAGAATTCTTCATGCCGGGAAATAAGGTAAACGCAAGAGAGGGTTTATTTATTCCTACTGTTGAATTATGCCTTATTTTATCTATGATCTGGTAATACCTCAGCTGTAGACCAGGCCGACTATTTTCACCTGACTTTCAGTTTGGGTTCCGCGTGCCTATCTTACTTCCTATCAAATGTCGCGTATCACGCATTACAACTTTGCCTTTGTTTGAAAGTAAGCGAGAAATAAACTGGATTATTTTATTTAAAAAATAAGTTTATAATTGACTTTCTGTCGTGCGGAAGGCTGGAAATTTCTTCCAGTATCATTCCAACTTCACTTGGGTATTTTAGTCATTGGTCAGTTATTTGATTACGAGTAAACTGAAAACACCGGGATAAACTAATGAAGACTAAATACATGTTGTCTGATATAGGATCATCCAGGCTAATATACAAACTGCCGTCTTAAATATCATAAAATGACAAGGCGAAGGGACGATTTCAGGGAGAAGCACATAACACCAAAAGGAGAGTATAAAGTCTTGAGTTGGGTGAGTAAATGCCATAGAGTTATGGACAACGTAGTGGGCTAATGGTTGGAGCCCTGTGATCAGATCTGAAAATTATCTTTGAGCTGTGCCTTTGGGCTTAACACTGTTAATCTAACCCCGCCACGCCGCTCTAAGCCCAGAAGGATAAATCTACAGGAAAAAACCTCGACCTAAAGTACGGACAGTGAACTCGATTTAATAATAAGAGATATAAACTAGTTACGCTCAAAACCAATAAATGAGCTCTGTATACGCGTCCAAAAGGTAAGTAGAGGCAGTACAATTTGGTTATACATGGAGGTATCGACAGCAAGCTTGCCATATGATACACCGGGCACTATCACAAGAACACAGATACATTATGTGACCTGAGTACGTTCGTCTCCCATAACCATTAATTACCATAAAGGACGAAGAACTGAAAGCAATGGAAGTCATGCATACCAAAGATCAGCACTCAAAACGTGTCACTACGAAACCAATGATCCACAATGGTCAAACGCTGGGTCATGAAAAGCCCTTACTTAGGCTCACAGAGCCAACCACAGATTGGAAGGGGAGTAGATACATCGTAAAGAGTGGAGCATTAAACAAACATTTATTACTTTAATTTCTGTTTACAATGCTTAAAAAGTTAAAAAGTAAAAAGCACGGAACGTTTAGGTCGAACCCTAGGTCATCTTCAAATAAAGATGGCCTAGGGTCGAGAACGTTCGGTGTTTTTTACTTTTTAACTTTTTTAGCCTTGTGAATAGAAATTATTTTTAAAATCCAAGCGAATATTATGGACATTTATGACTTTATTTCAATTTGTTAAACTACGGGATTGATACGTTACCTTTGGCCGTTTTCTAAGGCGCCTTTTTAACGAGTCTTTCTTTTTTATTCCTTTAGTTTTCTCCTTCATTTCCATCTCGCTGAATTGTATCATAGCTCGTTGAAGAGCTCTCTCTTCGCGCGTTAATTCGCTCGGGTCTCGGTACAAGTCTCCTCCGCTACGTTCACGCACCGGCGATGGAAGCCTGGCCTCGAGGCGACGAATCATCGCACTGTTTTGCTTTTTCTTTGACACGTCGTCGGTGTCCTCGGTGTCCTGGACACCAATTTCGATATCGTTTATTTCAGGTGTTTTAGCCCGAGGACTATCATCCTGGCATTCTTCCACTATGGTTGCTGATATTTCAACATTTTCCGAATCGTCATCGCACACCACACCCGGCGAAACGGGCGTGTCTGGTGTGCTTGGTTTATCTGGAAATATAACATTTTGGGAATCACCGTTGCTCGCCACAGGAGGCGAGACGAGCGATTCCGTAGAAGAAATGTTCCCACAAGCGTAATTATTTGCTCGTGTGTTCGGGGAGGATTGAATCGTCACTGGTGACTCGCAACGTAAATACCTCTCAATATCGGGACTGTTTGCCGATTCACGTAACGCGCATTCATAAGACTGATCTGCGAGCTCCTCCTCCACAGAGCCCCTTCTGTCTACGTCATTTTTCTGCGACAAAATTGCTCGTCGAGCTCGTAGCGGAGAAAAGTCACTCGGCGCTTGACACGGAACTTGTGTATAAGTAAAGCGCGGTGAAGTTCTCTCATTAAGTACACTCTTAGCTGGGGATACTGGTCTAAACATTCTCTCTGGCACTTCGGGTGACGAAATAAGTCTTTCGGAACAAATCAGATCGCGCTGTTTTCGAATCGATGCCTTGTTCCTCTCTAAAGCAGCATGAGGAACTGGCGAGGGCATAATAATTTGGTTGACCACGGATGATCTAGGTATCGTCCCGGGCGAAAGGACTGGCAATACCAGCTGAAAGCTGGATGGTGCGGAGCGTCCTTTAAGCGGTGAGGAAACCGCTCGTAATTGAGTGAACGCTGGAATTTGGAAGCCACTCGGTAAGGACTGCACATGCGCAGGCCTGACTGCTGCCACGTAGGTATTTGGAGGAGGGGGTCCGGTTCCGATAAAAGGGCCAACTAAGTGAGTAGCCTTTAAGTTCGTCTGCTTCTTCTCTCCGTTTAGCATTTCTCCAGCGCTTCGTGTAGAGTCTAAACTGATAAGGTTAAGTTTTCCCACTGCGTTTGCTGGTTGAACAGGCCTTGAGTTCACGTTGTTGTTCTGGTGCCCAGACACAACGTCTCGACTTGAATACGAATGTTTTGCACCAACAGAACTTGAAACCGCATTGGGGTAGTTTAAGTGCGTCACTGAAGGAAATATAAGGTTGGAGTCTACCTTCGGCGGCTCTGGCGGAATAATAATTTGTGCTCCAACAGGTTGAAGATGACCGTTGTTCACAAGTCGTGCCGCAATAGTGTTAGTACCTGAGTTCGCATTCGTTGGAGTCAGCTGTTTAAAGGCGGCATCGTAGCCTGTTCTTAAAGGTTGTACCGTAGTAGACATATTATTCGCACCTTCTTTGTTTATATTCGTCAACCGTCGGAGCTTTTCTGAGAAAGGAAATCCTCCGTTTCCCTCCCTTGTGTTAATTGTTTGCTGAGTTAAGCTGTCGATATACGAATTAATCCTCACACGTTCAAAAATATTACTTCCGTCTATCGCGTTGCCTGAAAAAACAAAACGAAATATCATAGGTGAGTTTCGAAGCTCATATCAAGGGTATCCAAGAAAACAGTTGAAAACCTCCGGGTAATATTGAAGATTTGAAGATAGAAATGTCCAGAGAAAAAAGGATAGTAAAGTTCAACGCTAGAAAGAAAAGCGTTACAGGAACTTCTGTGATGTAGAAACGAAAGTGGAAAGATTGAGACGGACCATGAGTCTTCCAAAATTAAGGCCAAATATTTCACAGAACATAGTAATGGTGATGTTAACTTTAAGTCGAAAAACGTGGGAAGTGTTTGCACAATCTCCCGAGCTAGAAGCTTGTGTTAAACACGCACGACTAAATAGCAATTGACAATTAAGGGAATGTAAATTATGTACTAATCTAAATCTTTACAACAGCATTAAAGTATGGGAAGATAAAAATATTCCTAAGATTGACCTAAAATTATATATATACTATAACTACGTATCAACTAATCATTATATTAAAAATATAAACGAGTTCCGAAAGTATCAACCTTGACACAAACGCAGATACAATTTTATATAGTTCATGCACTGGCACTCTATGAACTATTCAGACCAAAACGAAATTGTGCCGGGGTGGTCTTAGATTTGGCGAAAGCTGACATGACGAAATGTAACCGGCTCTATTAACATTTTATGGAATTCCTAAATTTGTCACAATATTCAAGGTATCTATTTAGGACAATCTTGGCATCTCGAGGAGGTTTGAATAGTAAATAACATATTCTATAAAACGTCGTTTTGTCTTCGATCAAGTCCGTTTTTTAAAAACAGTGATATTAGTAAAAAGAAATTGTCATCACCGCCTACACCAACACCGGAGGAATTCGTTGGTATGTTCTTGAAATGGGCTGACCCATCGAGCCAACAGAGTTTTGCGATCCTTCCCTACATCAAAGGTGTTACTGAGCCACTCACTCGAATTCTTAAGAGGCCCGACATCCAAGTCTTCAACAAACCAACAAAAACACTACAACACGATTTTCCTGTTCCCAAGTTTTGACCTTCTAAAGACGAATAGTGCAACGTTATTTACAATATCCCTTGTGCATCATGTCAATGGAATTACATCGGCGAAACTAAAAGATTATTTAGCACCAGAAGAAAAGAACATATTAGAAATACAAAACAAAGTGCTAAAGGCTCCAACTTTGCTAAACATGCATGGACGTTTCGCTTGTTTGTTGATTTCGGCATTCATCACTGTCGCTATTTTGCGGAGATGGAAACAAACGTGTTTACTTGCGCATCGTTACTGTTGCGGTTAATATAATCTTTTGGTTGCCTTCTTGTTTTTATATCGAGCGATGGGTTTAGATCGCTCTGCCTGGAATGAATAACGGGGCCAAAGGAAGGAATAAACTACTACGAGACACAACGATTGAAAAAGTTGCCACACGTTTTTTAAAGTCAACACAATTGTCAAAGTCGAGAGCTGCCTTTAGAACAAAACAAATCTATCATTGGTAAACTACAGCTGTAAACCTTCAAATAAAATGGACTGAGTTTCAAGTTTATGTAAAAACAATGACATGTAGATCCTGAGGAGTTACAGGTAAACAACACGGTGCATGGACCAGTATTAATCAGGCATAACAAAACGAGCATTTACATCACCCACTGCCATTCACCCCCACACAAGTTGCCATGTAGAAAACTGAAAAGTATACATTTATTGTGCTGTCTAAATGAAAACAATTTGTAACCTGGCGTTAACAACAACAGCAGTGCCAACAGCAAATCAAATGGAGACCATGGATACGAAATATCGTAACTGGAGACTCGTATATTAAATAGCAAAGGCGACAGAACACAGGAAACATCAAATGTCGCTATTCCACAGACGTTGAACAACTATGTACATGTAATATTTCGTAACTTTCAAGGCAAACAGCTTCACTTGAAGTAGTCGTGCACCAAAGAAGCGAGATAGATGAATACTGCAGCAAATAAATCTGTGAACCTCTTCTGAGATTGGCAACAGATTTAATATACAGCCGAAAGAAATCTACATACCCGTTTTTTCCTCCTTTTCTTCTCCCACAGTTACACGACTTGTGTTCGTGGCAACTCTGGTCTCTATCGGAGTGTCAATAGTTCCAGTCCCGTTGGAGACATTTCCATTGACATGGTTTTGGGCGAGGATAACCGGAGGCCTAAAATTCCCGTTGATATGTTCGAAGATGGAGCGTTCTTGTCTCAATTCTGAAGGCTCTGCTTGATTGTTGTTGACGCCGCTGACAGCTGTCGGGAGTTGAATCGCAAAATGAATTATTGAAGAGCTAAATAATTAAATCTCCTGTTGCATACATTAGTGTTGCCTTCGCCATGGGTTCTGGAAATCTCTAAACAAATCTGGCTACATATTAAAATTTGACAACTTTTTCAAACAGCAACTGCGATAAGATAACACGAAGAGAAAAGTTAATGCATGCAGCTAAAGGACAAAATTAATTTATTTTTGCACTTTTCTTTGTTATTTGAACACCTTCATTCCATATGGCGTAATGTTGCTTTCTATGTGATCTTTGCAATCGCCGAAAAAAGAAAACGTTCGCCATCGTTGCGGTCATATGGTATACAATTCCTCAGTGATCGTATTTCAGTTCAATCTCTACGATCCGATCGTGACAGTCGTTGCGATTAGCCTTTTATTCCGCGGCCGAAGCGAAAACTATACGCCTGAAAAGTGTTTTCAAATTATTCCTGTAGCAAATGACAAATTTTAAAAGATACCAAAAACGCCTTACCTACAACAAGATTGTGTTCCTCGACGTGTGGTGGATTGTTTCTGTTACGAAATGAAAAAGAAGAAAACATTAGACTTGGGAAACAAATGTCAAGTTATTAAAATGATGGACGTTATGGGTTGCGTGACATCTCAAGGTCACGCCGATTTCAAAGTCGGCCAATCTCAAAAACTACAACTAAATTTCCTCAGAAGTGGTGGAATAGCTGACTTCATGAAACAGGTAACACGCTGTGTTTAACAGTGGCTAGGGGTAACTATCAAAATACGAATGTTGAATCAAAGCTGCACGGCTAGCTATTAATGTCAATTTAAAAAAGTATATTGGTGAAACCAATAGGCATTTTCACACACGTGTTAATGAACATCTTTTTCGGGACAAAAATTCCCATGTTTTTAAACATCTCAATTGTTCTAAGCATTGTCGAGACAATTGTGATGCCTCCAGTTTGAAAATTATTGATTTTGCTAAGACTCTCTCACAACTTAAAATCAGGAGAGTTTTCATATTGAACGGTTAAATCCAGAACTCAACAAACAAGTTGAGCATGTCAATTTATCGTTACACTTTTAAATGTATCTATTTCAGCTTAGTGGTTTTTTCACTATTGCTCTTTTCAAAATTTTTATTGGTTAGTTTAAATACGTTTGCATTTTACGTTAATTTAAATTTATAAAGGCTCATTGTATAGGCTGTTACATATATAATAATGATCTTTCTGTAAACCTTATATATTCATTATGGCTGATGATGATGTTTGAAACATCGAAACATGTTCCGAAATCTGAAAAGCGTTGTTGTGTTTTTAAAAAAAGTAATAATAATAATTACAATTTATGTTGAAACAACGAATTGTTTTTCCGCATAAAAGCAGAATAGTTTTTATCCACGCGAATATTGCAGAAAAAAGCTTTTACATTTATCTGCATCTCATAAATAAGAAAACAACACATTTCTCTCATATCTCGTTCCGATAGCACTGAATCAAATTATTTTCTGGCCTCGTTATTTAAACGTTATTTTAAAATTAGGTTTATTGTTCGTGTGTTTGTTCGATCGATCGATCGTTCGTTCGTTTGTCAGTAAAGGAGCTTTATGAAGTGCAAAATAACATGACACAAACTCCAATCAGAAGTAAGCGAATTAATTCACGGTCACTCAATTTGCGTTACCACCATAATCAATTTTCTCACGCTAGGTGAGCGAAGGACAACTAAAACAGAAGGAAGATAGGATTCAAAAACAGAAGGTAGAAAGATAGTTCTTTACCTGTCACCTGAAGTATTGTGAGACGAGCGACCTAAATTACGTAATAGACTCGAGACGAAATATAATCAAATCTTACCTGACCAGGTCAAGATTCGATTCGGCTGATCCATTCGGCACCTAAAAAAGGAAGTATAAGGTAAAAACGTCTCGTATTTGAACACACACAAAAAAGGTACTTCAGACAGAGAAAAGTTCTAATTTCTGCAAGAAAGAACAATAAAAGGCAGGAATGCAAATTCAGATAGAGCTTACACTTATTAAATGTTCGGCTGGTATTGCCGATGTTTCGCCGTTGAGTTGGCCAGCTTTGTCCATGGATAAATCTTTCGCTTCGTTCGTTAACACCTTCATCAGGCCCTGACGCTGAGTATATCTAAAAAGAAAAAAAAGAAAAACAGCAGGTGAACGGTGTAAAAATGTGACAAGTAGAAGATTGATGATTCAAGAATATTGAAAACACCAAACGAGTAACAAGTAGAGAGTTGAAATTGTAAATATTGAATATCTCAATTTTCTAGCGGGAAAAATGTAATAAATAATTGCCACCAAAAAAAATTATCCTGAACATCGGCACAAAACAGAAAAGACTGGGAAAAATGGCTCGTGGATACCCGTGGCAAGAAATAATGAAAGGCCATAAATTATTCGACCTCGATTAACACAGAACGTGGACGTCGTCGAATTTCAGCGAGGGGGCTTTCTCTAAAATAACAATGAGGAAATTTCTTGGGAGCTAAACATAAAACGCTCGTGTTGCACCGTACATAAATGCCGTGATGCCATCTTAGGACCTGTCCACATGTATCCGGATATTTTTGAATCCGCAACTTTTTCTTTTCGAATACGGCTTCCGTCCACACGCATCCGGCGAATTCAGTTCGGCAGCGAATCCGGATATTTTTGAATCCGCTCTCCAGAGTGGAAAAAAAGAAATCCGCAACGAATCCGATAACATGTGGACGGCGAATCCGGATATTTTCGAATCCGATGACGTAGCAAGATCGTGTCCAGTCGCACAACGCGTAGGCTTAGTTTCTCTAGAGGGAATCCGGATACCATCGGATGCGCGTGGACAGGCGAATTCGATTTGAATACGCTATGTGTGGACGGGGAAAGTTTTGAATCCGAAAAGAAAAAGTTGCGGCTTCAAAAATATCCGGGTACGTGTGAACGGCAGCAACATTCCAGCCAACTTCTTTCGCACATCTGTAGCAATAGCTTTTTGTAGCCGTAGACGAGAAGGATTTGACGGCATGGCACAACAGAAGTTAGCTCATTTGTTTTGACGCGTTGTACGAACTGACGCAAAAATAGGGACCTTTAGATTGGACTGCAAGTACGAGGTTGAGCATGAGTGCGATTTTCAAATTTCAAACCAGAACCCTCCCTCGTCATGTTGGTTTTAGGTAGAGAGGGTAGCTTATGTAATGAGATGGGTATGTGGGGTAATAATATGAGAAGCCTGCAAACTAGAATTGAAAAGTCATCCTCGTAAATCGATCTTGTACTCTTACTCAATCCTCAAGTCCCCTAGTATCCAGTGCAACAGCGCTTTAGAGAGCAAACACAGTCCTAGCACCAGGGGTATTTTAATATTCTCCGTGGTTTCGTTATTTAATCTGCAGAAGCGATCACACATAACTCACCTTTCAATGATCTCCTCGATGCTGTCGCCGCCATTTTGAATAGGTTCATCCGGGACACCTCTGGAACACGACATGTCCGCGATACTTACCGTAGTTGGTTCAGCGGTAGCCTGAAACACAACATAACACTACTAAGTTCTTTGATTTTGTTTGTATGTAAGATGTTATCGTGGCCTGCGTGAGACAGGCCGAGTTTTATGGCGAGCAATGCCATCAATTCCCCCGTTCTACTGCCGTACTTTTTAACTGGTCGCATGACTTTTCATGATAACTGTTCCACAGAAAATTTGTTGTACCATTTTCCAGGACGATCCGTGTAGCGTAAACCAACGCTGATATGCGAACTACTTCTCGAAACGACTTGGAAAAACTAATGAATCTATCTTAGTCGTTCTTTGATTATAGCGCAACCTGTATTGCGTGACATCATGTCACGGCTTTCGGATGTCACAGAGCGAACTTGTAATTCATTCTGGCGAGACAGCCAAGTAGAGGCAACTCCTAAAGGAACATTGGCGGGGTTAAACCCGTTGCTGGCTTCAGTAAGAAACGGACCCGAAGCTGATGTACCCGCCGATGAAGACAAGTTTTTGGGAAAAAAAAAACCGTCACGCAATGCCACGTAAAACTGAGAGAGGCTACGTGCGAGCTATCATTCCTGCATTGGATGTGAACTTGTAGAAATTACACATTCATGTTTAAATTTGCATTTTTAGCAAACCGCTTATTGCGCCGACATCTTGCAATCTTAACCGTTGCCATTTTCTTTCATTTTCCAAATTATATTATATTATTGTATTACACTGTAATTTTGACTTGCAAATTGCGCTGAGAATCGATCATGTCTCTAATACACATGTAGGTTGAATGCACATTATGCATAAAATAAAATATTGAATGATCAGCCATGACAAATGTACCGATTAGCATACAATAACAACTAAAACACTACAATATAACTCGTTTGTACAGGCCAAATTCAGGTGGAAGACAGACTTAGAAGCACACCACTTATGCGTTTTAGCATGCATAGGGCATGCAGAGATCATTTTAAAGTGGTAGGGGTAAAAGATCTGGTCACGACAAAGTCACAAACAAGCATTAGGGATCAGCACTGTTCCGGCATTCAAGTGGTAATCTTCGTACATTGTTCTTGTCATCTGTAGCCCTAAAAAATCGACCCAACTTAGAGAGTAGCTTATGTATTTACCCAAGGCAATCAACTTTAAAGTGTCGCAACTTTGCCCTCTTGCTAACGTGTTAGATATATTCTAGATACATGTAGCTTTCTTTTAGTTTCCCCAGCTTGACAACCAATCAAAACGTCAACAACCACAGGTGCAAAGTACATGTATCAGCATTGCTACAAAATGGAAAAGCCAGCCAAAAATGGCAGCGGTTGAGGTAAATGTAGCGGCAATCCGAAATATTTGTCACAGGTGCACAAGGCCGGAAATTCCTCTCAGATAACTACTCACAGCATAAACAAAAACAGGGATCGGTTAACAACGATCATGGGTAACAGACTGTTTACGGGAAGCGACTGGCAACGATTGAGTTACTGGCAATACAAAGCATTTACCCACAGATGTGCATAGCCGGAAATTCCTTTAGGCAACAGCTCACAACATAAATACAAACATGGACAATCAAATCAGAACAAAGGGCATCAATATTTTCTTTGAACAATATTATAAATGTATAAATACGTGCGCGATAATTTCTACATTTAAGGAGGACGGAACTCAAAATACCCGTGCATATTTAGTGGCCTGTGTTCCCATAGTAATCCTTGTTAATCGCGTTTTGAGCACCTTGTAAAAACAAAGCACGTGGCACAGGATATCAAAGAAGTCACGTTAGACCTTGTGGCCCATAGCATAACTGATCTACTACAATCACTGAACAGTTTTAATCAAATCATTTTAAACCAAAACAAAGCTTGCAAGCTTAAACCTTTGATGAACATTCAATTTCTTGATCAATTTTGCGCAGGGAACTGTCGATATTTTACAAGTGTCTTATAGACTGCGAGGCACCCATTGAGAGGCTTCTGTGGACTGGTGTGAATATAACGGACACTCATAAAAAAAATTAAGCGTGTGAAGTAATTCACATGGTTACAGTGTTGTGGGGAGGTGGGGAGGACAAATTTTGCCATCTTTGCATGAATGTAGAAGCAACGGTCTTTAAACAATGCAATTCTCAGTTACATCGGGACTTCTGCATAACGATAAATCTCTCAATGTCAGAAAGGACGAGTGTTAGTCCGAGGTATTCCTTCGAAAAGAGGCAAAGCAGGCATCACTTGAAATATGCATGTAATCTCTCCCCACTATCTATCAAAGAGTGGCATCGCGGCAATATCGCTATGATGAATTTCGTTATTCTCTTAACTTGTCTGGTTGACATTGCCTTCAATATTGTCGGGAGAAATCACATGTTCATCGTTCTTTGTAAGCACAGAGAGATTTACATGTTGCATCCATTTGAATCTTAAGCACACAGAGCTGCAATGGAAACACGAGCAATTGAAATACAGGTAGTTCTTTCTTCACTGTACGAGAGACACTTATAAGAAGTACAATGGTTGTTTCGACCTGAGATTTTGTGAAATTTTTACCATGGATCTTTTTGCAGGCTAATGTCTGGAAGCAACAAAGCCTGGAAGTAGACAACTAACCGTTGTTACGTAAGGCTTCGCTCTCGGAAAAATGCCACAGAATTGGTTGTAGCTGCTGACATGAACGTCGTCAAATTAAGCTCATGAACCGTTATTAAAAAGCGATGATAACATTTTCGTCTTGTACATACGCAGCACAGTCTGAGCAAGAACATCATTCACTACTTGTACTACACGAAGAGAGAAGCGGGGCTACGAGAAAATCGTGAAAAAAGCTTTAGTTAACAGTTCGATGTATGAAAGACACTGCAAATTAGAATACACGTCTTAGTCTGTGTTAACACTGTCGTGCATTAACTTAGTGTATAAGGTCAGTCATCATTGGAGTTTGTGGTTGCATTTTACTGCTGGGACCACACATAATCCTCAAACGATGTGAAACTGATAATGAAGTTATGTAACAACTTGATCGCGAACTACACGTTCAAATTCTTTACTAGTCTCGACCCCTTCAAGAGAAGAAGCAATGTCTAAATATAAGCCGTGCACAAAAAGAAGGTCCGAGTTATCGCTAAGCGACTACATTCTGTGAAGAAAGGACATTAAATGGTTCCTCGTACTTTGTTCTCCAAGGGCACAAACCGTCATAACGTTTGTCTGTACACGAAACATAGTAAGGGATAGAGGAAACCTTGTATACTCTAGCTACAATGCCAAAGTGATCACGAACAGTACTGTTAGCGTCGTGGGTTCGAGTCCACATTACGTGTTTTCTCTCGTTCAATCATACACATGTATCAAGGAGGGGTGACCATCCGTAGAAGATTTCCACCTACGTGCGTATGTACAAGAATCGTTTGCCCTGTAAAATGCCCTGACTGATGAGAGAAGTTAACTCAAAATTTCAGTTCCCCCGCAGCTCACTGTTCGTCTGAAGGGGGTTGAAATCTTTTACGCGACTTAATACCAGTTTCATGTCGTACAAGGCACTAGAATAAAGGACGGCAATGTTGAGTGCATTCCTTGCCGACCGTCTAAAATACATGCAACAGGAACAGCGACACGAATACCTGTTTAAACTGAGCAGACGTGACGATCTGATCGTGGATGTGGGAACGTTTCATACTGTGTTCTAGTGATGGATGACTGCTTCGGTCCGCGTTCGCCATCCGAGCAGCAAAATGGCGGACATAACTGGAGCGAACTTGTGCTCATGTCTCGTGATATGCTCTCAGAAC